CTCATATGAGAGATCACAGTCAAAATACTAAGTATAGGCCGGCGCCGCGGCTCACTAGGCTAATCCTCCGCCTAGCGGCACCGGCACACCGGGTTCTAGTCCCGGTCGGGGCGCCGGATTCTGTCCCGGTTGCCCCTCTTCCAGGCCAGCTCTCCGCTGTGGCCAGGGAGTGCAGTGGAGGATGGCCCAAGTGCTTGGGCCCTGCACCCCATGGGAGACCAGGAAAAGCACCTGGCTCCTGGCTCCTGCCATCGGATCAGCGCGGTGCGCCGGCCGCAGCGCGCCGGCCGCGGCGGCCATTGGAGGGTGAACCAACGGCAAAGGAAGACCTTTCTATCTCTCTCTCTCACTGTCCACTCTGCCTGTCAAAAATATATATATATATATAATACTAAGTATAAATGCTAGTGTTGTGGTGCAGCTGGTTAAGCCACCACTTGGAACAGCATCCTCCCATATCAGAGCACCAATTCACGTCCTGGTTGCCCTGCTTCTAAACCAGCTCCCTGCTAATGCACCTGAGAGAACAGCAGACAATGCTCCAAGTGCTTGGGCCCCCTGTCTCCTACATGGGAGACCATGGAGTTCTAGGCTCCTGGTTTTATCCTGACCAAGCCCTGGTCATTGTGACCCTTTGGGGAGTGAACCAACAGATAGAAGATTCTCTCTCTCTCTGCCTTTCAAATAAATAAAAATGCTTTAAAGAATATGATTGCTGGCCGGCGCCACGGCTCAACAGGCTAATCCTCCACCTGCGGCACTGGCATACTGGGTTCTAATCCCAGTTGGGGCGCCGGATTCTGTCCCGGTTGCCCCTCTTCCAGTCCAGCTCTCTGCTGTGGCCAGGGAGTGCAGTGGAGGATGGCCCAAGTCCTTGGGCCCTGCACCCCATGGGAGACCAGGAGAAGCACCTGGCTCCTGCCTTCAGATCAACGCGGTGTGCCGGCCATTGGAGGGTGAACCAACAGCAAAAGGAAGACCTCTCTCTCTCTCTCTCTCTCACTGTCCACTCTGCCTGTCAAAAAAAAAAAAAAAAAAACATGATTGCTTATGGATAGCGTGGAAATTCAGTCAGGAGAGGCCAGCACTGTGGCACAGTAGATTGACCCTCCACCTGTGGCACCAGCATCCCATATGGGTGCCGGTTTCTAGTCCCGGCTGCTCCACTTTCGATCCAGCTCTCTGCAATGGCCTGGGAAAGCAGTAGAAAATGGCCCAAATCCTTGGGCCCCTGCACCCACGTGGAAAACCCGGAAGAAACTCCTGGCTCCTGGCATTGAATCGGTGCAGCTCCAGCCATTGTGGACATTTGGGGAGTGAACCAGTGGAAGAAATACCTTTCTCTCTGGCTCTGCCTCTCACTGTCTGTAACTCTACCTCTGAAATAAGTAAATAAAATATTTTTATAAAAAAATTCAGTCAGGAATGCTAGTGATGCCAAGCAACCATGGCATCAGCATGTCCACATCAGCAGTGGAAATAGTGACTTTTTTTTTTTGATAGTTCAAAAAACTTGGCCTCATGCACAGTTATTTAAAATCTTGTATAAAATTACCTTCAGGCTATGTGTGTAAGATGTATATGAAACGAATGAATTTCATGTTTAGAATTGGAATCCTAGGCCGGCGCCATGTCTCACTAGGCTAATCCTCCGCCTTGCAGCGCCAGCACACCGGGTTCTAGTCCCGGTCGGGGCGCCGGATTCTGTCCCGGTTGCCCCTCTTCCAGGCCAGCTCTCTGCTGTGGCCTGGGAGTGCAGTGGAGGATGGCCCAAGTGCTTGGGCCCTGCACCCCATGGGAGACCAGGAGAAGCACCTGGCTCCTGGCTTCAGATCAGCGCGGTGCGCTGGCTGCGGCGGCCATTGGAGGGTGAACCAACAGCAAAGGAAGACCTTTCTCTCTGTCTCTCTCTCTCACTGTCCGCTCTGCCTGTCAAAAAATAAAAATAAAGTACCTCGAGTCTCAGGGCGGGGGCTGGGGGGAAGGGGAGGACAGGGCCGCAGAAGTTTTCCAGTCTGCAGGAGCTTGCACATCATTGCCCTGGAAGCTTTGATCGGCTCTTTCATGTGCATTCCTGCGGAGACCTTTAAAAAAGGTAAGTTCCACTTCAGCACGTCTGAGGTGGAGCCCAGATGCCGCACTGCTAGAGAGCGCCTCGCCGACGAGGCTGCCCTCCACGGACTGCCCTGCGGGCACTGAGGCTCGCGGGGATCCTGGGAGCGTCCAGACCCAACACCTGCTGCGTTTCCACCACACCGGAGCTGTGTCCCCCCCAGCACTGGGATCAGAGATGGCCCAATTCACCCCTGGGGTGACTCTACCTCTTCTCCTGGCTGGCCTGGGTCCAAAAAAAAAAAGACACGTCCCCTCCCAGGAAGCTTTTGCCAAGTTGCCAGACACCATTAGCCTCCTCCAGCATCCTTGGGTAAACTCGAGGCTCTGAGCCACGGCCAGTCTCACTGAAACTGGCAGCCTCTTTCCCTGCTGGGGCCACCACCCAAACTGCAATAAACCACCTCTCAAGGGCCACATCTGAGGGCCACATCTAAGCAGAAATGCATCGCTGTATCCCCCCAACTCTGTCCAAATTCCTGTTTCTCAGCAGAATCCCGGCTTCATCCCAGTGTCCCCGGAAGGGAAGCTGTTTATGGGCATCAAATGGTCGTGAATTCCCCGCTTTGTTGTCCCCTCCCCACCCCAAATGGCTTCTGAGAGCACTTTAGCACCCGCCCATCTCCTGAACTGGGCGGGGGGGGGGGGGGGGAGGGCAGCTGTAGGAATCACGCACAGGCATCTGGGACTTTGTGAAGCTGAGCACATCGATTTTTTTTTTTTTTTAAGCACATCAATTTTTAACATTCACAGTCTTCCCACCGATTATCCCAAAGGCCCAGTCTTCCCAATCGCCTTCAGCCCGGCGTGTGCCTGGAAGAGCAGTGCCAGGCCAAGGCCAGCAGGGGGCGTTTCAAGCCCATACTGAGAAACACTGGGGCCTAACCCTTTGGCTTCTTCCTCAGGAAATCCAGGTCCCTGGGCTGACTCCAGCCCGGCTGACTTTAAGGGGACCGCAGCATCCCATTCCGGTCTAACGGGGAGCCAAGGCTGCCTACTGGCCAGCATTCGCCTGCAGCTTTCTCCACATCCTGACGTCATTTATAAACGTAGGGCTGTCACAGGCCAGATGGCTCCCCGCAGATTAGGTTCTAAAAAGAAGGGAGTGAACCATCAGGGACCAAACAACAATTCCCTCAGATTTGGGACACGGTTCTTAGAAAACTATAATTAGAGGAATATCTTCAGTATAAAAATATGGGGGCTGGCATTGTGCCATGGGTTTAGCCTGTGACACCAGCTTCCTTTATGGGTGCCAGTTCAAGGACCTGGCTACTCCACTTCTGATTCAGCTCCCTGTTAATGTGACTGGAAAAGCAGCAAAAAATGGCCCAAGTCTTTGGGCCCCTGCATCCCATGAGAGACCTGGATTGGGTTCCTAGCTCTTGGTTTCAGCCTGGCCCAGTCCTAGCTACTGTGGCCATTTGGGAAGTGAAGCAGCGGATGGAAGATTTCTCTGTCTCCCCTTCTCTATAACTCTGCCTTTCAAATAGATGAGTACAATCACATATACTGCTTGGGGCCAGTTAAACCACCGCCTACAGTGCCGACATCCCATTTGGTACTGGTTCGAGTCTCGGTTGTTCCACTTTTGATCCAGCTCATGCTAATTCTGAGAAAGCATCAGAGAATGACCCAAGTCCTTAGGCCCCTGTCAGCCACATGGGAGATCCAGAAGTTCCTAGCTCCTAGCTTCCAACCAGCCCAGTTCCAGCCATTGTGTCCATTTGGGGAGTGAACCATTGGATAGAAGATCTCTCTGTCTTTCCTCTCTCTGTAACACTTTCAAATGAACATTTATTTTTATATATGGCTTTAAATTATTTAACTCAGGGGCAGGTGTTTGGCCTGGCAGTAGACACCCACATCCCACACCAGAGCGCCTAGGTTAGATTCCTGGCTCCAGCTCCCCATTCCAGCTTCCAGCAGTTGCAGATCCTGGGAAGCAGCAGGTGATGTCTCAAGTAGTGTTGGGTCCCTGCCACCTACATGGGAGATGTGAATTGAGTTTCCAGCTCCAGGCTTTAGCCTGGCCCAGCCTTGGTCATTGTAGGCATTTGGTGAGTGAACCAGAAGAAGAAAGATAAGTCTCTCTCCCTCTCTCTCTCTCTTTCTCTCTCTCAAAAGAGGGAACTTAACCTTGGTGCAAAAAAAAAAAATTGTGTCTATGCAATTTTTTCACAGTATGCATTTTCTACAAACCTTTTGAATATGCCTTGTATGCATGGATTTCAAAAAAATGTTTGCACTAAAGTAAACCTTTTAATTTTTCTGTATAAGTTAAGTCTTCTGTATAATTTTTAAAAATTAATTTAAGGGTCAGGTATTTGGCCTTGTACTTAAGATGCCCGTGTCCCATATCAGGAGTGTTTGGATTGGAATCCTGGCTGCAACCTGACTCCAGCTTCCTGCCAGCCCTCCAAGAATATGTTTAAGTACCCTGGTACGTGCACTTACATATGTCCTCACTGGAAAATGAAAAAGAGAACTCTCAGTGTGTCAGAGAAACTTCTGAAAGTGTGCAAACAGATGGGACTGGATTGAACCGACAGTCCAGGAAATGGTTGGAAATCTGGGTGCAGCACCAAGGCTACTTCATGCCCACAGGAGGGAGGTGATCCCACAGACAGGAGTCATGGGCTGACTCACTTGGATACCTGGGTGGGAATAGCCAAGCCAGTCATCCCTCACTCAGCACCACTAGTAGGAACCACAGGATTGAGTATCTGATTCCAGGTGGGAAAGTACTTATAGCCTCCCAGAGAAGCACCTGTCAACGCCTGGGGGCCTCGTGCCCAGAGGACGCCAGCAACTCGGCCAGCAGAGGCTCCACACGGGCCGTCGGACCTTCAAACATGAGCACGCACGCAAGGAAAGCCAACTCCACAGAAGGAAAGCATTTGTATTTGTCAACAATATGCAGATCTGGAAAAGTGCAAGTTCATCATTATCAGTGACCTGAGCCTGGAAACAAAGAGCTTTAACTGTATAGCTGGAGGACCAGAGGTGCTCTGAGAAGACATCACCTGCCAATGAACAAAGCCACCCATCGAGGCAAGGGGTGCAGAGCAGAGAGCTTTGGCCGAGAAACTCCCCCGACAGACAGGAGGGGACACGACGGCTGCCCTGGGGAAAGGGCTAAGCTCCTGACCATCACCGCATGCAGGAGACTGTAGGTGCCCAACCGGAGCAGGCCACGCGACAGGAATTCTATGTGGAAAACCCCTGGGTGTGCCTGCAGGCTGCCGGCATTACTGTGTCTGCCGAATCGAATTGTTGGAACTTATATCCCCCTCTTGTATTTCTTTTTTATTGCGTTGGGGTGGGGCTTTAACCCGGCCTCCCTGCCTATTATCACAGCCCCTACATAGCAAAAATCTGTTACTCAGAAGCCTAATTGGTCTTTGAAATTCAAGCATACGCCTGTCACTGTCCTACAGCTGCAGAGACAGACGGAGCTACAACTACCCCGGATTCTTCTTCCAGCCAGGGGATTCTGCTTTATTGCCCCTCCCCCAGCATGGGAGGAAGGCGACCCCTGGGCTCAGCCTAGCTTAGGGAGGTCTGGCAGTCACCTCAAGCAGCTCTCTTCCCAGCCTTGGGCCCAGGACAGCTGAGGAGAAGGCTCAGGGATGCTAACTACAGCTCAGACATGGCCGAGACATTCTCACAAGGCTGTGTGCTCAGGTGGGGCCCGGGGGCCGAAGAGCTGCTCCGCCACAGCCTTGCCATCATACTTGGGCAGGGTGCCCCCGAAGTCGGCGGGCAGGATGTTCTCGTCGATCTCCTGGAAGAAGCCAGACAGGTCATCTCCGTGCACATAGACCTGCAGGGAAGCAAAGGGGGACAGCTGAGCAGGAGGGGCCTCCCCATAAGGCAGGGGGACAAAGCCACCAGGTGAGGTCCTTCTCCAGGGCCCTCTGGGCTGTGCTGTCGGGCAGGGGGGCAGCCGCTCAGTTCAGGACCGGGGCACAGAGGGTGCAGAGCACTCCTCCCACCGCCTCGTGCTCCAGCCCCACCTGGGTCACTGCCCTCCCTGGCAGGCCCTGCACTCACCCTCTGGAGCAGCTTGCTCTTCAGGAAGGGCTTGACCACGTTGTAGGTGGTGGTGAAGTACCACGGCTGGTGGATGAAGTGGATGGCTTTGAACCGGGCTGGGAAGGAGTCCTGCAGTGGAGAAGAGACGCCCCCCATCGCGGGCAGCCCAGTGGCCTCGGCGGCTCCCACTTGCTCCCCGTGGCCTCTCCCCACAGACCCCACCAGGGAACCCTGGCTCCAAGCTGCCAGGAGGAAGCCCCAGAAGTGCCGCTGCTCAACCCTCCACCCTGTCCCCCGCTGAGGCGAAAAGCCCTGGAATTAGGTGAGGAAGCGAAATAGCAGCCTTGCTTGATTTTTCGGTGACTGAGCGCTCCTGAACCCACATGCCTGGGGAGTGGACTGCGAACAGCTACTTAGACCAGAGGGCACTACTGGCAGCCCCTCCCAGGACCCCGCCCCCACCCCACCCTTGCCTGATGTACAGGGAGCAGAGCTAAGGAAGAACTCCTGACATATCAGTACATACAAGTGCACTTTAAAAAGTACACGGAAAATAGAATTAAAAGACAAGTTTAGGGGCCGGCGCTGTGGCATAGCAGGTAAATCCACCGCCTTCAGGGCTGGCATCCCCTATGGGTGCCGATTCAAGTCCCGGTCGCTCCACTTCTGATCCAGCTCTCTGCTTATGGCCTGGGAAAGCAGTGGAAGATGGCCCAAGTCCTTGGTCCCTTGCACCCACATGGGAGACCCGGAAGAAGCTCCTGGCTTCAGATCAGCACAGCTCCAGCCATTGCAGCTAATTGGAGAGTGAACCAGCAGGTGGAAGACTTTTCTCTCTCTTTCTCTCTCTCTCTCTCTCTCTCTCTGCCTTTCCTCTCCATACATAGTTTTTATTTTTTTCACAATATTCATTTTCCATGAACTTTTTAAAAATATTTATTTTTTTTATTTATTGGAAAGGTAGAGTGACAGAAAAGGAAAGAGGGAGAGAGATCTTGTGTCTGCTAGTTCACTTCCCCAAAAGACTGCAATAGCCAGGCCTAGACCAGGCCAAAGCCAGAAGCCAGGAACTCCATCCAGGTCTCCCACATGGGTGGCAGGGGCCCAAGGACTTGGGACACCATTCACTGCCTTCCCAGAAGCATTAGCAGGAAGCAGGAAGCAGGAGTCAGAGCTGGGACTCAAACCCCTGCTCTCCAGAATGGGATGCAGGCAGCTGAAGCAGCAAACCAAAGGCCACCCCCTCTGGGAAGTTTCTGAAGATTTCTTACAAGGAGGGCGCTGTCAGGGAGGTGGTGATACCCCTTTGTCAGGGTAAAGTCATGTTCAGAAAAGCAACATGGTATATACGGACAGACAACATAGGAGTCTAGATCAGAACATGTAGGTCCAAGGCTGTCCCCTGCCTTTATCACTGTGTGGCCTTGCGATTCACTTAACTCCCTGTCACCTCAGTTCCCAGGTTTGTACATGAAACAGGACAGCGTGGAGAGAATCTTCCAAGGAGTCAGAGTCGCCAAAGGGGTGATCACCTGCAAGTGTCTGCGGCTGGGGCTGTGGTTGTCTCTGTGTCTTTGTGGCACTAAGTGGTCACTTCTCAGGTCCTTGCCAGAACCATGAAACTGGGAAACTGGGCCTGCCTCCCAGGGTCCCCTCCTCTGAGAGGTTCTCACGGGACAGGTTCTGGGGCCTAACCTGCAGCATGTCCACCATCTTCCTGAGATCTGCAGCCCGGAGCCCCGCAGCCTGCTGCATGGTAAAGCCCTTGAAGTTCTCAATGATGCAGAACCCATTAATTTGGGTTTCCTCGTTCTCCAGTAGCTTCTCCAGGATGAAACAATATGCCTGCAAGATCTTGAGCACAGAGTCAACAGGCTGTAAGCCCCAACCCAAAAAGAGATTTATGAAGTCCCAGGTCTTGAAGGGAGAGATAATCGGCACACTGTTTACTGGGGTTTCATTCGCCAAAGGCTTCCATCTGGGATGTTCTGCCTTTGTGAAAGCAGACCAAGAAACTGACCTTGAAGATCACACCCGTGGTTAGGTGGCAGAATGTTGTTCCAGGATTATGTATTTAACCTTTAAAATAATTGTAACGATTTACTTATGTGATGTAGTGGGTAAAGCCACTACCTGCAGTGCCAGCATCCCATATGGGTGCCAGTTCAAGTCCCAAATGCACCTCTTCCAATCCAGCTCTCTGCTATGGCCTGGGAAAGCAGTAGAAGATGACCTAAGTGCTTGGGCCCCTGCACCCAAATGGGAGACCTGGAAGAAGCTCCTGGCTCCCAGCTTCAGATCAGCCCAGCTCTGGCCTTTGTGGCCATTTGGGGAGTGAACCAGCAGATAGAAGACTTCTCTCTCTCTCTCTCTCTGCTTCTGCCTCTCTGTCATTCTGCCCTCCAAATAAATAAATAAATAAATATTTTTAAAAAGGCAGCGTGACAGAGACGGAGAAACAGAGAGATCCTCTACTCGCTGGTTCACTCCTCAAATGGCAGCAACAGTCAGGTCTGGGTCAGGCTGAACCCAGGAGCCAGGAACTCGATACTGGTCTCCCATGTGGGTGCAGGAGCCCAACCACCTGGGCCACCTTCCACTGCCTTTCCAGGCACAATAGCAGGGAGCTGGATCTGAAGTGGACTATCTGAGATTCAAACCCACACTCTGATATGGGATGACGGTATGACAAGCAATGGCTTAACCCTGGTTCACTCTCAAAATGCCCACAACAGCTAGGGTTGGTCTAGGCCAAAGCCAGGAACCAGGAACTCAATCCAGGTCTCTGATGGGGGTGGCAGAGACCAATCCCATGAGCTGTTGTCGCTGTCTCTCAGAGAATATTAGCAGGAAGCAGGAGTCAGGTCACAGCCAAGAATTGAACCCAGATACTCTGACATGGACACTGGTGTCTTAAGCACTAGGTCAAATGCCAACCTCTATAGTTTTTTTTAATGAAACAGAAAACTAATCATACAGGTATGGTCCCATTTTAGTGAGATAATTATCGTGTGTATATGTTGCAGGAAATATCGATTAGGGACTGGCATTGCAGCACAGTGGGTTAAGCCACCACCTTGACACCATCATCTGTAACAGAGTGCCAATTCAGGTCCCAGCTGTTCTGCTGTTCTGCTTCTTGCAAATGAACCAAGTCCTTGGGCCCCTGCACCCATGTGGGAGACCCAGACGGACTTCTTGGCTCCTGGCTTTGGCTTGGCCTGGCCCAGCCCTGGCTGTTGTGGCCATTTGAGGAGAGAACCAGCAGATAGAATATCTCTTCTCTCTCTCTCTCTCTCTCTCTCTCTCTCTCTCTTTCTCCGCCCCCACCCCACTCACTCCCTCCCCCTCATTCTCTCTCTGTCACTCTACTTTCCAAATAAATAATAAAATTAATGTTTTTGACAGGCAGAGTTAGACAGAGAGAGAGAGACAGACAGACAGAGAGAGACAGAGACAAAGAGAAAGATCCTTCTTCCATTGGTTCACCCCCCAAATGGCCGCCACGGCCAGCGCGCTGCACCGATCTGAAGCCAGGAGCCAGGTGTTTCCTCCTGGTCTCCCATGCGGGTGCAGGGCCCAAGCACTTGGGCCATCCTCCACTGCCTTCCCAGGCCACAGCAGAGAGCTGGACTGGAAGAGGAGCAACCGGGACAGAATCTGGCGCCCCAACTGGGACTAGAACCTGGGGTACCGGCGCTGCAAGTGGAGGATTAGCAAAGTGAGCTATGGCGCTGGCCAAAATTAATTTTTTTAAAAAAGATACAGATTAGAATGGTATCACTGGTAGAAATCTCTGGGTAGTAGGATTGTGGGTGATTTTAAATTCGTGATTTTGGGGGCTGATGCTGTGGCATAGTAGGTTAAACCTCAATCTGTGGCGCTGGCATCCCATATAGATGTCAGTTCAAGTCCCAGCTGCTCCACTTTCAATCCAGCTTCCTGCTAAAGCACCTGGGAGATGTCCCAAGTGCTTGGACACTTGCACCTTTGTGGGAGACCCAGAAGAAGCTCCTGGCTCCTGGCTTGAGATCGACCCAATCCAGCTGTTGCGGCCATTTGGGGAATGAACCAGCAAATGGAAGACCTCTCTCTCTGTGTAACTCTGACTTTCAAATAAATAAATAAATCTTTAAAAAAAAAAAAAGAACAAAGTGATATGGACCATGAATAGGCAAAGGGACCAATGGAACAGAACAGAAAGTCCAGAAATAGTCCCAAGCACATTTGAAAATAAAAGGGTTTCAAAATGTTCATGGAAAATGGAATTAAAAGATAAACTTGGGCCGGCACCGTGGCTCACTTGGTTGATCCTCCGCCTGCGGCGCCGGCATCCCATATGGGTGCTGGGTTCTAGTCCCGGTTGTTCCTCTTCCAGTCCAGCTCTCTGCTGTGGCCTGGGAGGGCAGTGGAGGATGGCCCAAGTGCTTGGGCCCTGCACCCCATGGGAGACCAGGAGAAGCACCTGGCTCCTGGCTTCGGATCTGCGCAGCGCGCCGGCCGTGGCAGCCATTTGGGGAGTGAACCAACGGAAGGAAGACCTTTCTCTCTCTCTCTCTCTCTCTCTCTCACTGTCTAACTCTATCTGTCAAATAAATAAATAAAAATTAAAAATTAAAAAAAGATAAGCTTAAGAGTAAGCATTTTCCTAGCAGTTAGGATGCCGGTTAAGATGCCCACATCCCACATTGCAGTGTCCAGGTTCAACTCCCCTCCCAGATCCTGCTCCCAGTTCCAGCCTCCTGTCGATGCAGACCCTGGAAGATAACAGGTGATGGCTCAAGTAGTCCCTGCCACCCACATGGCAGCCCTGGATGGAATTCCCTGCTCCCAGATTCCACCTAGCCCAGCCTCCCTCCACCTGCTACCATCTCAGGGTGAAAGCTCTGTCTGTCTCTCCCTCTCTGTCTCCATCTCTCAGCTTCTCAAATAAACTAAATAAATAAATATAATAAAAGATAAATCTATTGTGTAAAATTTTGAAATCCATGCATAGTTTTAACATAATAGGCATTTTCCACAAATTTCTTAAAGACTCTCATATAGAATATGATGACGATGGCATCTCAAGTCATTGGGAAAAGATGCACATTTTAGTCTGGTGCTGCGGCTCACTAGGCTAATCCTCCGCCTGTGGCACTGGCACCCGGGTTCTAGTCCTGGTTGGAGCACCGGATTCTGTCCCGGTTGCTCCTCTTCCAGTCCAGCTCTCTGCTGTGGCCCAGGAGGGCAGTGGAGGATGGCCCAGGTCCTTGGGCCCTGCACCCGCATGGGAGACTAGGAGGAAGCACCTGGCTCCTGGCTTCGGATTGGCACAGCATGCTGGCCACAATGCACCGGCCGTAGCGGCCACTTTGGGGGTGAACCAATGGAAAAAGGAAGACCTTTCTCTCCATCTCTCTCTTACTGTCTAACTCTGCCTGTCAACAACAACAACAAAAAAAGACGCACATTTTAATAAATGAGAGGCTGGTACTGTGGCATAGCTTGTGGCACCAGCATCCCAAATAGGTGCCAGTTTGAATCCTGGCTGTTCCACTTCTGATCCAGCTCCCTGGGAAAGCAGTAGAAGATGGCCCAAGTCCTTGGGCCCATGCATCCATGTGGGAGACCCAGAAGAGGCTCCTGGCTCCTGGCTTTGGATCAGCCCAGCTCCAGCCATCACAGCCATTTAGGGAGTGAACCAGAGGATGGAAGATCTCTCTGTTTCTCCCTTTCTCTCTCTAATTTTGCCTTATAACTAAATCAATAAATTTTAAAAAAAAATAATACTAGGGCAACTAGATAACATTTTCCAAAATGTGTCTGTATTTTTTTGTTTGCTTGTTTAAAAAAAAAAAAATAAGGCTCATGGCACAAGCTGCAGCTCTCCAAAGACAAACCCTAATTCCCCTACTTGGGCAGCCTTCTCAAGAGCTCTCACAAGCAAAATCCAATACCTAAGCGCCAAGCACAAAGAGCTCAGGCTGCTTAGCGGGTTGGAGCCAGTGCTTTCCAGATCTCTCCCAACCCACAGCACACTAATCCTCGTTCTCTCTGTCACTCAGTTTTCCGCATTTGACAGGACCGCCCCCGGCTCATGGCCCACAGCCGTTGTCCCCGCTTGGCACCTGATGGTGACCCCAAGGACAGCCCACAGATGATGGGCAGGCCAGTCTTACCTGCAAAGCTTTCCCAGCTGCCCCAGCACCTCCTAGAAATTCTCTCCCTGCATGAAAGGGCCTAGTGGCAGGTGCCTGCCTTCCCCCCCTACTGACATCATCCCCTAGGGAGCCCTGCCTGTGGGTCCAGGAACGGCCAGGCAGGGAGAGAGAGGGAGGCAGCCAGGCAGGCCCCCACTGACCTCATCGAAGGTGATCTCTTCACAGTGCCAGTTCTCAATGTTGAAGAGCATGACTACTCGGCCATACTTGTCCCGACGAGAGAGGACCCCGGGGTAGCCAGCCTCAATGGTACAGCGCACAGCATCCAGGGACAGGCTCTCGAAGAGCTCAGGATACTGCAGCCGGAAGTTCACGTAACCTGGAGGTGGGAGAGATGAGGAGCCCCCTAGGGAGCTGTGCCCTGCTTACTTCCCCCTACTACCTTCTGAGATGCCACATGGTGGGACTCAGAGACCTGGGCTCCTGCCTGGCTCCTCCACGTGTTTCTGTGTGTGTCTGACCCTATCTGAGCCCCACGTTCCCTCTCCAGGGACTTGGGATGACGACACTGGCCCATGTCACCAAACTGTGTGGCAAACAAACAAGACCCAAGGTATCAACATCATTGTGAACTGTGCAAGCACGAGGTCCAGTCCCAAGCACCAGGGTGATTGCTACTTGTTTTCTTCCCCACAGGGACAAGGCACAGGGTTTTGGCTTTCGGTTGTTTGTTTTTGTTTGTTTGTTTGTTTTCAAATCTGGGGACAGAGAGGGTATGGGCAGGGCTGAGAAGAAGTCCCTGATATCAGATCCAAACCCCAAGCAGGACAGAGGCCCTTCCTGACTGTGCACCACCCCTGCTCCAGCCACAAACCCCAGGCCTCCCCATCCTGAACAGACTTGAGCTGCTGGAGGGCCTGGGCCCAGAGGAGGTGTTCTTGGGCGTGTGCCAAGGGAAAACCACGTGACCCCTTCCCAGGCAGACCCCACCCTCACTGTCTCACCTTTCCCCTGCTGTGCCCCTCATGGTGTCCTTAGGGTTTTTCTCCCAATGCCCCTCCTCCCCAAGAAAAGGATTCCCTCTGCACTATGCCGCTTTCCTGAGCACTTTACCTAAAGTGGCAGCTCCTTGGTCTTTGACATCCACCTCCTCCATTTTTCTCCTTACCCCTCATCACCAGGTACCACTCCATTTTTTTTTTATTTTCTCTGTTTGCTTTACTCATATTATCTCCACTGCGAGACTACAAGTCCCACGAGGGCAGAGGACTCTAGCATTTTGTTCTGCACTGGCCTAGGACAGTGGCTGGCAAAGCACAGCAGGGAATTAGCATTTAGGGAAGGAAGGAAGAAGGGGGAAAAAAATCAACGGGCTGCGCCAGCACCAAGACAATTCCTCCAGGAAACTTGTCTTCCACCAGCCAGCAGGACGGGGGCAGTTCTGTCCCTAGGGGCTGGGGCTCTCCAACCTGTGGTGAGCCGGGCGCTCACACGGCTGCCTGCAGAGTTCAGAGCGGCCTGGGCTCTGCCTCCGAAGCTCATCCAAATGAGCACCCCAGTTCTGCTCTCCCAAGACTGGGAGCCAAGACAGGAGCGGGAGCTCTACAAGTCAGGTGGTGTCAGACTCATTCATTCATTCATTCATTCGCTGCCGGAGCTGAAAAGGGTCTTGGAGCCTTTTGTTCACAGGCACCGTTTTACGGTAAGGCTTAGAGGCCGACACAGCGGGACTTGCCCATGTCACGGAATGGGGTCCCCTTGCTACCTGCCCGGAGCAGCGCCTCCCTCCCGCGGCCCTCACCTTTGAGCAGCTCATAGGCGCGGCCCACGTTGAACTTTCGCGCACGGATGAAGCGCAGGAGGAAGGCGCTGTCGCGGCTCCGCACCCTGTCGGCCACGGCCAGGGCCAGCTCCTCGCCAGAGGCCGCCTGCGCCTGCACCAGCTCCTGCAGCTCTCGCACTGCCTCCTCCCGAGTCTCCTCCTTCTCGTTCAACTCATCCTTGGCCTGGAACAGGGTGGGGTGTAGACACGGGACCTGGGTTGAGGCTCCCACCAGAGCCACACCCGCTGAGCGCCACAGTGACCGCGGCTGGAGACCCCGCTCTCCTGCCTGCTAGGGGGCCACCTGCACTGGCCAGCACAGCAGGTTGCTGTGTTTGTAGAAAGTTAGGGCAACTACTCATCCTGGGGGTGTTTGCAGCATGTGGCCCAGAGTCCACGGCTAACTGGAACTGAACTGGAATGGCCTAGCTTAGCCTCTTTCCCTTGGGGTGCCCATGGAAGCAGAGATGGAAGCCAGGAACCCAGCTTAGCCATCTCTTGTCCAACCCCTCCTCCAAAAAGCAGCCTCCACAGAAAACAGTCGGGGTGTCTCCGAGCTAGTTCAACAACCATATTCCTAGATACAAAAGACAAAACCCTATTTGTTTGAGGCTACATAGCAATTTAGAACTTGGGCCTTTTGCCTGTCCAGTGAGGCAGCAGTTGGATCTCTGTTCCCCAGGGCCACTTTGAAACCAGTGTTCTCCATATCTGACTCCATGATGACCCCTAGTCTGGTACTCTGGGATCAGCCCAGCTGCTGCCATAGCCCTGACTCACAGGATGGCCAAGATGAACAGGCTAACCTATGAAGTCCAGGATGATCCAGAGAGCAGGGGCTGGGATACAGGAGAGAGTACTTTGTCACAGTCCTCCCAAACCTCCTGTGTCGCCTCCCTAGTCCCTCCCCACATCTCTGGCCACCCTCACCTTCTGCAAGGTGTGACGGGGCAGCTGGCTGCATGGACCAAAGACAGGCCCATGGTCCTTGGTTGTGAGCTGCTCCAGTTGGGCCCGGAGCTCCTGCTCCTCTTCAGGGACCATGCGGAACGTGCCCACCTGGGCAGAAAGGGGTCAGGGAGAAGTGAGAACAGTCGCTGTCCCCCAGCAGCCCGAATGAGCCTGGCAAGCGGCTGGCTCAGCCCCTACACCGCGGAGAAGCGGGGAGGAAGAAAAGGAATGGAGGGGTACTTACCCCCTCTGACATGCTGCGTCCGGGAGCCTCCAAGTCCTGGGCAGAAGGGCTGTGCTTCCTCTGTGCTGGCGTCTCCCGCAGGCCTTCCCTGGGACAGGCAGTCAAGGCTGCAGTGGTATTAGAGAGCCCGTTCCGGCACTGTCTCGGCGCACCAGAGCTCAAGTCTCGAGTGCATCAGAAGCACTGGGGGCACGTGTTCGAAATGCGGGTGTCTGCCTCCCACCCCACCCGCCTCGCGATTCTGACTCTGGAGGTCAGGACGAGCACCCAGGGAACTTCAGATTAAAGTGCCCCCTCCCCGGGTAACTCTGGAGGGGATGGCTCTTGGGTTACACTGTGCAAACCTGCTTCAAGAAGGCACATGTGCACACGTTCCTCAAACCTCAGCTGTTAAGATGAGCTGGCTCAGCCAGGGAAAACCCGGAGCTGGACTCCACGCCCAGTTACGTAACCACCCCAGGAGTCAATCCCTCCTCCCTTCTGCGGCCCTGTGGCCCCTGCTCCAAGGGGACGTCAGAGGCGTCCCAGCATAGCAGATGGCCCTTTCCCCAGTGCACTCATTCCCAGGCGTGCTGGTGACCGTTACATAATCATGACACTGTGGGTGTGTGCTACACTTTGTGGTGCACTGGGTATTTTCAAACCCATTATCTCAGAACCGGGCTTGGCACCATTTTACGTAAGAGGAAAGAGGGCCAGGAGACGAAGTGGCTTGTCCAGGGCAGCACAGCCCAAGCAGCAGCCAAGGATCAAGACTCAAACCCAAGTTGTGACTTCCTGTCAGCACCAAGGGGCAGTAGGAACAGCGCAAAGTCAGACCTGGGTTCCACTTCCGCTTGCAGGCTTTGTGTTCTCACCGGAGTCTCCTATAAAATAGGGTGGAAAGAGTATAAGATGTGGGGCCAGAATCGCGGCACAGCGGGTTAAGCTGCTACTGGCATTGCTGGCATCCCAGTTCCAGCCGCTCCACTTCCCATCCAGCTCCCTGCTAATGCACCTTGGAAAGCAGTGGAAGATGGCTCAAGCGCTTGGGCCCCTGCCACCCACATGGGAGACCCAGGTAGAGTGCCTGGCTCCTGGCTTCAGGCTGGCCCAGACCTGGAAGTTGTGGCCATTTGGGGAATAAAGATTGTGTGTGTGTGTGTGTCCCTCTCTCTCTGTCACTTTGCCTTTCCAACAAATAAATATATTTTTTTAAATGTTATGACACACAATTAAATATTGTCCATATAAGCAATACTCAGCTACCAGAACAAATCTCATCCACGGCCTGCAGTGATACCCTGTTCACCCAGTGGTTGGTTGTGGAGAGAGCTCTTCTACTTCCAGGTTGTAGAAATGTCCTGCCAAAATGTTCCCAGGACCTTCCGGAATTTTTTTGCCATTCTGCTTCTGCCTCTGACCAGGTCCTGTTGGTCAGTTTGGTCCTCTGGCCAGTTAGTAAGTGGCAATGCTGGGACTTGAACCTATGTCTGCCTGACATTGCATCTTTTTTTAAATTAATCATAATACTTGTTTTTATTTGGAAGGCAAGAAGACAGAGGATCTCTATCCACTCCTCCAAATGCCTGCAATAGCCAGGAACCTGGGACTCCATCTGCGTCTTCTACATCAGTGGCAGGGACCCAAGCACCTGGGCCGTCACTGCTGTCTCCCAGGCAGCTGGAATCAGGGGTGAAGCCAAAACTTGAACCCACTCTGAAATGGGTGCAGGTGTTCCACGCGGAGTCTTCACCACTGCACCAAACACCCACCCCACCAAGCCTGACACCTCGAACCAACACGTCTCCAAGCAAACTCCCTGAGAGCTGAACCTTGAAGGTCAGAGGGACCTGGGTTTGAATTAGGCCTTGTCATTCACCAGCTGTTTGACCTTAGGCAAATTATTTAACCTTCTGGGGCTTCAGCAAACGAAGGATAATAACAGTATCTACAAAGAAGAATTGTAATGTGCCTGGCACAGTGTCTTACTGGAGAACATAGCTCCCTTCCCTTTGCTAGCAACACACTGATCGTCAGTCTGACTCTACAGAGAGACCTGGAGGACCCCAGGGAACATCTGAGGGCCTCCCATCTCCCACCCTTCCCTCTGCTCAGCCCCATCAAGGGCAGGGAAGCTCCGGGGGCTGTAATTCACCCACAGGAACAAAAGCTGAGCCACGTCTCTGGCTGTTGGGCATGAGGATGCATGGATGCAGAGACCAGCAGACTGAAACGTGGTTGTGCCATCTCTCTCTCTCTCTCTGTCTCTCTCTCTCTCTCGAACAGGACTAGAGATTCTGATAGAAGTGCCCTGAGGAGCTCAGGCAGGAGGGATAGTGCAGGACACCCTTGGCTGTTAAGCAGACATCAGGACAAGATCCCAGATCTTAAAAACACAGGGCTACAGTCAGTACAACAATTGATTTCTAAACATGCCTAAGCTGTTAACCTTGATTTTTTTTCTCAAACACTAATTTATGAGCTATATACAATGAAAAACCACTTACCCCTCACACCATGTATATGCTGTTCTCTGCCATCTAAGGTTGTCCAAAGAACCGCAGGACGCCCAATTACGTATGAACAACAAATGTATTCAATATATAAGCATGTCTCATACCATATTTGGGACATGCTTATTATACTCAAGAAGTATTTGTTGTTCACCTGAAATTAACATTTTTGGGGGTGTCCTGTATTTGCTTTTGTTAAACCGGCTGTAAGCTTGGTCTGGGCCAACCTGGAGAGGGGCCGGTGGTTTTCAGTTTTACTGACGGCCTGGGCTGGGGTCTCCTCCCCACCTCCCCCTGACTCCTCACCCCGGGCTTGGGTTCTCACCGGTACTGACTCACCTGCCAGGTCAGCAGCTCCTCCTTGGGGCCACCCAGTCCCTGAATCGTCCGGGACTCTGGAGGTTGCCTCCGCTGGGGGTGTGGTCCAGTCAGCCGGTCGGGATTAGAGTGTCACAAGGAACTTCTCATTGCCCCCAGCCTCTTGTTAAATCAGGTTCACAGGAGGCCCAGAGCAGGGCGAGCAAAGCTCTAGGGGGGAGAGAGCCGAGGTCTGGGCCCGGCAGGAAACGCATCAAAGCCTTCCTTTGTGTGCGCTCCTGCCCTGGAGTTCCTGTTCAGCCGTGTGGAAGCCGGGGCCGTGGGGCTGGGAGCTGGGCCAGCCCCCACTCCCTCTTCCCTGCCCTCTTTCTCCTCCAAACCCCAGCAGAGTCTGAGCGAGCACCCCCTACCCCCAGGACAAGATACGCCAAGAGGTGAAAGGGAATGCAAACCTGGTGGCCGACTTGATGGCTGCTCCAGCCACTCCTGGCCTGTTACCCACCCTCTCCCCAGCCAGCAGTGCTGCTGCCCCAGTTCTCAGTTCAAGAGTGAATGTGGTCATTGGGCAGGGTAGCTGGTGAAGGCTGAGAGGGAGAGGACAAGGCAGGTCCACCCACTGTCCAGGTAGTATGGTGCAGTGGTCAGACCCCAGCTCCAGCCCCTTCCGGCTGTGGAAAGTTGTTCATCACTCTGTGATTCTGTTTTCTCCTCTGAGAAGTGGGGATAACTTGAGGACCAGGCTCCTGCCGTTAATGGGATGAAATAGCAGTGAAGTGCTCAGCCCAGGTACCTGGCTGCCTGACACTGGGGAAGAACTCTGTGAATGTGGTCAGTGTTCTGCAAATACAGAAGAAATAGGCACCGGCTGGAGGAACTCACAAGTGTGATCCATGCCTCTGCACGGCAAGAAACCCCCCTGCAGCCGCCTCCCTAGCCTCACCTTTGATGTTCCACTGAGATGGGGGTAGGAGTTTATTAGAACATCCTCTGGTCAGGGTTCCAAGGGTGGGAAGCTCCCTGTTTCCACCACTGGCTGCAACCTTGTTTAAAAACTCATCCTGGGTCCAACCCCAAGCACTGTCCTATCATGCCTGGTTTTGCCTCCCAGAGCTGTCCGGGGCAGAGGCGAGTCCCCGTGCGCAGCCCGTTCTCCAGAATTCAGTCCCAGAAATGCTTTTTGATTTTCCCCCAGATTCAGGTCTTGCTTTTCTACCCTTTCCTACTTGGACAGCTCTGGGACTTCCTCATCCCCCTGTGCCCTCTCCAGACAGCCTAGGGCTATGAGAGTGACCCTGAAGGAGAGTGTCCTGGGACCAACACCTGCCTCTCACTTGCCTGGCTGGATCCCTTCCTCTAGAGCAGGCTGCAATGTCTGGTGCTTAGATCCTGACGTGCCCCTGAGACCCTGGGGCACTTTGCTGCCAACAGCTCCCTCGCTGGGCTCCTGCTCTGGCTGCCGTGTGACCGTTGGGACTGTTGGCTGTTTCCTTCCCAAGTGCTCTCTGGAAATAAGGACCCCTTCCTTTCAGTCATTCCCCCTCATCCTGTTTGTCCTACACAGTGGCCACTGGCCACACGCAACTTTTCAGCACTTGAAATGCAGAAAGTTTGACCCTAGAACTGAACTTTTAATTTTGCATAATGTTAATTTAAGAACTAATCCTGGAACTGGTGTTGTGGTAGAGTGGGTAAAGCTGCTGCCTGGGACACCGGCATCCCATATGGGCACCACCTGCTCATGTCCCAGCTGCTCCACTTCCAATCCGGCTCTCTGATAATGGCCTGGGAGAAGCAGCGGAAGATGGCCCAAGTGTCTGGGCTCCTGCCATTTACATGGGAGACCTGAATGCAGCTCCTATCTCCTGGCTTCAGGTAGCCCAGCCCCAGCTGTTGCCGCCTTCTGGGGTGTGAACCAGCAGATGGAAGATCTCTCTTTGTCTCTGCCTCTCTCTGTAGAACGCTGACTTTCAAATACACAAATCTTTAAAAGAAATAAACTTTTTAAAACAAATCACTTAATTTTCATAAGGTCTCTATGTGATTCCCACGTATATACAAGTTTGAAAAGCCCTGCCCTAGAGGGATTCTGCCCTTCCCGCTGATCCTGCCTGGGCCTAGTACAGTCTTTGCCTGGCTTCTTCCTTCCCACCAGCATGGAGGAAACAGACCCAGGACTGCCATTGCACACCATGCTGCTTTGGGACAGGGAGGTCAGTGGTGGCCAAGCTGTAGACAGAGACAGAAATACTCAGGCTGTGGATAGGCAGAGTCTCTTGCCAATTCCAGGCCTGGACCTACCTACTACAAGCCCTTGGCCCTATTAGACCTCAGTTGCTTCACCTGCAATATGGCATCATGGCTGTATTGCCTCCCCCCACCCTAAATTCATATACTGAAGTCCTAACCCCTAGACCATGACTGTATTTGGAGAGAGGGCCTTTAGAGCACCCCCCCCCCATCTAAGCTACAATGGAACCATTAGGTGGGCCCTGACCTACGTGGCTGGTGTCCTTGCAGAAAAAGGACATTTTTGCACACAGGGTGGTCATCTACAAGCCAGAGGGGCCACAGAGGAAAGCAACCCTGATGCCAGATGTGCACCTCCCAGAACTGCAGGAACAGGAATTTCTGTCTATGGGACTCTGCCCTGGTAACCCTGGAGAACTATTACAGAGGGGATGACGATTTGCTCCCAGGTGCTTCCTAGGGTTTGAGGCTCCTGGAAAGTAACAGGATGAGCCTGGGCTGCTCTGTGGGAAAGAAGAGGCTCTGTCAGTGCTGAGATGGACCCTCGCATGAAGGAGAACACACCTGTGCACCAAGCTCACTTCGGAGCGAACGGCACAGCTCCACCAGGACTGGGCAGCACAGCTATTTAGGATGCTAGCAGGCCCCGGGGCCACGGCGGAGAGAAGAGCTTTCTGCAAGGCTACCTGCTGCTCACAGTCCTTCTCTTGCCTCTCCTCTGCCCGCCTCCCACCCCAAGGGTCATATTCACACGCAACCATTGTGGCCAGAACAATAGTGCCACTGTGTGGGAGGAGACACGGCCCTCACTGGCCCAGACACTTGTGCTGGTCACACTGGCAGACAACCCTGGGCTCCCCGGCCTGCCTGTTTCTACCCAGCTGGCGGCAGAGAGGGGGTGGGCTCACAAGGGCTGTATCCCCAGTCTGCACTGTGGCAGGTGCCTTACCAGCGTTATTTCACTCGATCCTTCCAGATGTGAGATAGGGAGTGCAATCCGTTTTTAACAGAAGAAGTGGCTGAGAGTCAGAGCCAGGGACCTGTCCAAAGCCACTCCGGTGGCTCAGAGTGAAGTCCAGGTCATTCCAAATCCTTTTCGTCATTCAACACACAAGGCTGCCCTGGCGGGACTGCCAGGGAAGTCACACCTGTGCCCCTGGGGCAGTGCATCCCTTCACTCTTCCTGGAGGCAGCCCCAGGACAAGAATCTGGTCGCTGCAACCCCCTCTTTGACAGTAATCATTCTCCTGGGTGAGCGACGACCTGATGGGAAAACCCTGGTCCAGGAACATTCTGAACTCTCCTTAAAACCACAGCGACAGAGCCTCTGGCCCCCAGTGCCGGTGGCCTCAACACTCTACAAAGCTCTGACTGCCGCAGGAGGCATACTCATTGTTCAAACAGGGGTCTGCCCCTCGGCATTGCAGGAGCCGGAGGCCGGTGCTGGGGAAGGAAGCAATGAGTAGCAGAGCAATGAAGCACACCAATATGCTTGCTCAAAGATGGTTTTAGAGGGCTGGTGCTGTAGCGCAGCAGGTAAAGCTGTCGCCTGTGGTGCCGGCATCCTGTATGGGCACTGGTTCGAGACCTGGTTGCTCTACTTCCGATCCAGCTCTCTGCTATGGTCTGGGACAGCAGTAGAAGATGGCCCAAGTTCTTGGGCCCCTGCACCCACGTGGGAGACCTGGAGGAAGCTCCTGGCTTTGGATCTGTGCAGCTCCGGCTGTTGAAGGCAATTGGGGAGTGAACCATCGGATAAAAGACCTTTCTCTGTTTCTCTCTCTCTCTCTCTCTCTCTCTCTCTGCCTCTCCTCTCTCTCTGTGTAACTCTGACTTTCAAATAAATAAATAAATCTTTAAAAAAAAAGTCTTAAGAAGCCTTATGAAGCTTCTTAAGTTAAAAAAAAAAAAGGGTTTTAGAATTAAGTTGAGTTACCAAGCCCAGGAAAAACAAGCTTGCAAACATAAGCTAAAATAAAGTTAAAAAAAAAAAAAGATTTACATGGTGGATCACAGTTGATTGAAGGGATGGCTAGGTAGATAGACACTTGATGAAGCAGGAGAGTAAAATATTTCTGGTGGAACCTGAGGAATGGGTATTTGGGCTATTTGATGTTTGATGTAAAAATCTTGTCAACTTTTTTTTTTTTAAGGTTTTATTTATTTAGTTGAGAGGCAGTGTTACAGAGAGAGAGGTCTTCCATCCTCTGTTTCACTACCCAAATGGCTTTAACTGCTGGAGCTGCACCCATCCAAAGCCAGGAGCCAGGAGCCTCCTCCAGGTCTCCCACACTGGTGCAGGGGCCCAAGGACTTGGGCCATCTTCCACTGCTTCCCCAGGCCATGGCAGAGAGCTGGATCAGAAGAGGAGCAGCCAGGACACAACTGGGTGCCCATATGGGACGCTGGTGCTGCAGGTGGAGGCTTAGCCCACTGCACCACAGAGCTGGCCCCCAATCTTGTCAACTTTGTTTCCCATTAATCCCTGGGGAAGAACCCTCTTTTCTCCTAGTTCACCACTCTGGTCCTCCCTCTCTTACCCTCCTTCCCCCCATTCTTTTTTCTTTTGTTATTGCTTTGCTTTTTGGTGTTTTTTTTTTTTTAATATATTTTTTCTTCCCCCACATTGCCTCAACCAACATTTATTGATCAGTGACCATGCGTAAGGCACGAGAATCCACAGATGAATAAAATACCATCTCTGCTTAAGCAGCTCATGGGTTAGAGCAGGGAGACACAAGCAAAATATTATAAAACTATAGGGCAAATATATTCAGACAGGAACTCTAGGCCGGCGCCGCGGCTCAGTAGGCTAATCCTTTGCCTTGCGGCGCCGGCACACCGGGTTCTAGTCCCGGTCGGGGCACCGGATTCTTTCCCGGTTGCCCCTCTTCCAGGCCAGCTCTCTGCTGTGGCCAGGGAGTACAGTGGAGGATGGCCCAAGTGCTTGGGCCCTGCACCCCATGGGAGACCAGGCTAAGCACCTGGCTCCTG